CTCGTGCCCTTCACGACTGTGGACGAAGATAACGTCGAAGTATGCTTGTGCATACGCCCGGTGGGGCCTGAACAACTGCGTCACAAGACGATTAAATGTTGCTTATGCATTTGACAGACCTTGGGGCATCTCCAGCGACTCCCAGAGTATCCTGCTCGAAGTACACTGTCAGCAAAATATCATTTGGTCTCATGACCAATTGGTATTAACCATCGACCAAGTCGAGTGCGCTGTACTTTGTACAGCCAACCACATTTTTCTGATGAACAGCCTTCCTAGAAATCGGCGTCAGTGCTGGAATGGTGGTAGCCTTTAGCTTATCATAAACGTGAATGATACGCTACTTGGAATTTAGCTTTCTGACACAAAACATGGTGTCGAATGGAGAGACTTACCCTCGTGCACCATTCCTGCATCGTGCTTTACACGAAAAAAGGTGTCGGTGACGTCACACTGATCTTTGGGTAGGGGCCATAGGCTTGTTTTGCAGTATTTGGTTTCCGGAATCAGGTCGATCTCATGACACACACCTAGATCCGGAGGGTGGACCGACGGCACTTCTTTGGAGACGACGTCTTGACTTTCCTTTTACCAGAGGTAAGTACTGATCTGAAGGATCCTTCAAGATCAACGATTCACTTTGTGCGTTCAGCACCTTCTAATCGTCTTTCGTGGCAGCTATATCGAGAAGCGACGACGAGTGAATCTCCTCGTTTGGCCGTAAAATTTCGGCTAAATCGCCTAGCTTCAAGACCCTGCCAAACTTTTCAAAAGACACTTTGTTTAGCTCAAGAAGAGAACCCACGGCGGAAATAGCCTCGAGGGTGAAGTCGCCGTATTCCTTTTCCGCCATACCGTTGACAAGGGTGTATAGCTGTGCGCTATTGTCTAAATTGGACACACCCTGGGTCAGGGTCGACGCCCTGAGTCTTGCAAATAACACACGGCACCGCCGTCTCCTCTCTATAGCAGTTTACCGTCTTATAGCGATTGAGCAACAGCGTCGCAACGTGAAC